GGACAGGAGGCAGCTGCTCTCACCTGGGGTATGAGCAGAGTGGGTTGCAAGACTGTTTGCACAGCTGCACACATGGCAAGCCTCAACAAGGACTATAGTTATTGCTGAAAAATAGCAGATGTTACCATGGCAGAGGAAGGCAGAGGAGGGTAGAGAAGTTACTAAAGGAAAAGAAGTGACACAGGGCCCAGGTACAGCTTCTTGCTTACTTTGAGGCTCTGTGACGGAATTTAAAGTGTGTGTAGCTCAGTTATATAACAGCTGAGCCAATGTTTCATTTGAATGTTGATGGTCCCTGAGTCTAAATATATTACCCATCGTTTTCCCTCCTTCCCTCTATCTCCACAGACAGATCATAGCTCTGCCCAGCAGTGCCCTCACTGGGAGTGTGAGCTTCACACAGAACCCAATATGTTGCCAAATAAACTCTGAAACCATCTCTGGGGTGACCTATGTTTGGGATGTTTCTGACTGTTGTGGTGTAAGGGTGCCAGCATAACGAGCATAGAATTTTGTGGTCCTGTAGTGTTAACATGTGCCATTTAACGAGAAAGCGACGTAGAGGGGGAAAAAACCACTGCACATGTTGAGAAGGCATGGAGAAGCTTTAAAGAGTGGAGAAGCTTATGATTTTGTTTTCTCACAGGTTATAGATGCAGCATTCATTCTCCAGCTTTCAAAAAAAGACATTTTAAATAATTAGTTTAAGTTTGTAAAGATAGAGTCAGGAAGGCACACACTGAACTATTTGCACCAACAATTTTCAGTATCATTTGGGGTCTTGTTTAAAAAGCAAGTCTAGCCTTTTACCTCTACCTCTACCTTCTGTGGTATTTCATGTACTGAAGATTGTATCTGAAATTACTGTAACGTGACAGACCGTCAGGTAAGAATGAACTCAAATGTTAAGGAATGTCTTTAGAAAGGTGCCTGCCTACCAAGCATTAGGGCAGTTCCTGATGAGTTTAAAACCAAAAAGATCCCAGCAAATGTCTGGGTGGTGCTCTTGAGAATAGCTGTATAAAGCCAAATCAGTAAGCAAGAAAGCTACCATTACAAAGGAAACCTAAAATGGATGATGAAACAGTATTTCGTTCAGGGCCACAGTATTCAGTGCAATCACATGGAGCTGTTTGTTAGAAGTCGCTTTTGGCATCCTACCACTTCCATAATTTATGTAGTCCTCTGTTTTTGGAGGTACAAGGGTGTGTTTGAATTTCTTCAGTGGCAGTGGCTCAACTGGTTCTGTTGTTTCCCTCACCATTCAGGCCCTCGGCTTTCATCCTGTTTGTCCTTGCTTTGGGAGACACCGCCCTTTCTTAGAGGAGGGTGGCCTTCTTTTGTTTCAGGTTCAACTTTTAAAAATCAAAGTATGATAAAAATCAAGATTATTCCGAAGCCAGAATAGGCTGCTGTGCAAAGTTTACTTGCATTTGGCTTGCAGACATGCAGCTGTTTACAATCTGTGAGGCCTGTGATGGAGTCAGTGTTGACACACTGCTACAATTCTGTTCCTATCTACTTATCACAAGGCCTTGAGTTTTGTTGTCTTCTCATCTCTGTGTGCTTCCTAGTGATTGGGCCCTTGCTGCTGTCATGTCAATGACAATCTGGCTAACATGCTTATACACATGCTGCACAGATGCTCAAGGCCCTAAGCTGTCTTACAGTATTAGATATGTATTCATTTGACAACACCATTAAAAAGAAGTTGAATGTGAGAGAAGGTCTTTAGGGATGTGTAATTTGCCATTGAGGTGCACAGTATGCACAGTATGTAACAGGCCGTAGTTTGTGTTACTTAACTCTGCTAGGATGCTGTACTCTACAATATCTCTTGGTTTTTGTTCTATTTTGTATAAAATATTGTGCGTTGTCATGTGTACTTCCTGATCCATTAAAGGGTCCAAATTTGAATCTGGAAAGAATAGCTTAACAGTTTTAGGATGCTAATTCTGGGAGGTCTTTGGAGATTATCTTGGAGCTTCCTCTTTTCCTCCTGTTTAACATTTAAAGGAGCTTGAAGTCCGTGGAGGTTAATTCATCTTTGCAGGAAACAGTGCTGCGTTGTGTTTGTACTGTCACACCTGTTATTCCTGGAACCACACAGAGGCCAGTTGAGTCACCTGAGTTCTGCAATTTTTCAGTCTAGCAATTTTGTTCCTGGGTGACTTCATGGTGATGAGGAAACTAAACCCAGTTCCCCGACTGTAATTGACTGTTTTCTGATTTCCTTTATAAACAGTAGTGATCTACTTTTGCAAAAGTCTCACCAATTACATAGTTTTTGTTAATAAAGCAAACCACAGTACTTTATAATCAAATAATTAGCGTCAACTTTCAGGTTTTCAGTGTGTTCATAGTGTGTTAATTCAGGTTGCCAGTACAAAACACTACAGCCCAAGTAGATTAAACAATAGACATAGATTTTCTCAAAGTTCTGGAGACTGACTATGTCAGACTAAGATGCCGGAAGGGTTATTGTTCAGTAGTAAAAGCTTCTTCAAAGGAGAGAACAAGAGTAAGCGAACAGGCTCTCTGATGTCTCTTCTTTCAATAACAACAATCCCACTGGGCCAGAGGCCTGCATTCATGAGTTCAGCTAGCTCCAATTCTCTACTGGATGCGCAGGAGCCTTAAAAATACAGATTTTAGGAGAGACAACTCAGTCTAGAGCATATTGCTAAGGTCTTAGTATTGTTTAAAGATTTGCTTAAGTGTGCAAAGGACTTTTCTTATCTATGTTTATTAGCAATGTACTTTTATATTTGAATGAATATTTTTCACATTATACTGGTGACATTCATTTTGTTTTCCTTAAAAAATTCAAGTCTATGAAATATACTTTATACTTAAAAGTTGACCTGAGAGTAAAATGATACCTCTAGCAAGTTATCTTCACAGATTTTTCTAATGTAGTTTATGGCTCCTTAATGGTAAATGCATTTCTAAACAGCACAGTTTTCAAACTATAAAATATAGAAAATATACCCATGCTCATTGTGAATAATAATAATACATATTTTAATAAACAGTAATTGAAACCAAAGTATATTTTAAGGCAACTTTTATATATTGGGGTTACTAATGTTGCGAAGAAGAGGCGTGAATTGCTTTTTTTTTTTTAAATTGATTTTATTTTTCTTGCAAAGTCATATATACAGAGAGGAAGACACAGAGAGGAAGATATTCTATCCGTTGATTCACTCCCCAATCAGCTACAATTGGAGCTGAGCCAATCTGAAGCCAGGAGCACAGAACCCGTTCCGGGTTTCCCACGTGGGTAAAGGGTCCCAAGGCTTTGTGCCATCCTCAACTGCTTTTCCAGGCCACAAACAGGAGCTAGATGGGAAGTGGGGCTGCTGGGATTAAAACTGGCACGCATGTGAGATCCCACCTTGTGTGAGGTGAGGACTTTAGCCATTAGGCTATCACGCTGGGCCCAGGAGTGAATTTCTAAACAATGAAAATGTAAGGAACCAGGTGTTTTTTCTACAATAAATGCCACAGAGAGCATGCCAATAGCCTCCACAAAATATCCATTCAAACTTAAAACAAGTAAACTGGGAGGGAAAGCTAACATCATAAAAGTGTCTTAAAATCATTTGTATGTATTAGTTTTTAAAAATTTATTTATTTATTTATTTAATACATTCTTAGTTTGGGTTTTGAATTATGTGGTACAATTTTGTATAGGCTGGAATTTCCCCCCAAACTCTCACCGCCCATCAGATTTTTCTCTACACTATAGTGTAGTTCTTCATAAGGAATTATAATTCTATCAGTCTCTTATCTAATTGTACCCTGACATTATTGGCACAGACAATGTCAGACAGTCCAGCATCCCATTGTCTACAGATGTCCAATAAATTCATTGGGAATCCATCTTTCGTCTGGAAGCAGGGATGTATGTTCCATTATACCCCCACGTCTTTATATGATAAACCCCACTACTCCATCACTATACATTTCTGTAAGTGGGAAGCCATGAAACAAGGTCAACAACTGGTATGAGTTAGAACAGCCACAACAACGACAAATTACAGCATGATGAAAAAATTGAGCCACTGAGTTACCAACACATGGTTGACAAAAAGGAAACATAAAAGTCTCTTGGGGAAAAATGCCATCGTATGATCTGTGAGTCCGTGATGAGTTCGACAACAGAAAAGAAGTTATTTGGAATAAACGAAACTGAAATAAAAAAACCATCAAAACACATGGGATATAGCAACAAAAGCAAACAAAGATACAAAAAACAGTATAGATTGGATTATTGAAGTTACATTTTCCATGTTGATTTCCTTACATAAAATAGAACATATGGTATTTGTTCTTTTGTGATTGACTCATTTCACTGAGCATAATGGTCTCTAGTTGGGACCACCTGGTTGTAAATAGAATAACTTCATTCTTAATAGTTGAATAATATTCCATGGAGTAGATGTACCACAGTTTCTTTAATCACTCTTTGGAGGCACATCTGGATTGTTTCCATGTCTTTGCTATTGTAGATTATGCTGCTGCAAATATAGGATTACAGATCCCCTTCTCATATGCAGATTTCACTTCTCTTGGGTACATTCCTAGGAGCGGGACAGCTGGGTCATGTGGCAGGTTTATTTGCAATTTCCCAAGCACTTTCCATACCATACTGATTTCCACAGTGGTTGTACTAGCCTATACTCCCAGCAGCAGTGAAGGAGGGTGCCTTTCTTCCCATGTATATATATTGGTTTTTCAAAAGGCCCTGGACACTTCCAAATGAATGGTTATATTTTTGTCTGCTATAGAAAGACTATAGAATGAGATGATTTTTCTTTTTGCATTTTTTGTTTCTATGTTTAAAAATTTGGTCTGTGTTGCAATTATATGGCCCATGTATTTCTTTGGTGTGATTTTGTATAAAGAGTTAATGCTATACAGTCTAGATAAAATACTGTTTTTGTGTTTTTACAATGCCCACAAACATGTTTTTGCTGTTTTTTTCTCTGTTCCAGTGTTTATCTGCTGAGGAGATCTTCTCTCTTCATGGTTTTTCAAATGCTACCCAGCTAACCAGCTCCCACTTCTCTGTCATCTGTCCAGCAGTCTTACAGCAACTGAACTTTCACCCTTGTGAGGATGAACCCAAGCACAAAACAAAACCAAGTCTTTCAGAAGGTATACTGTGTGTGTTTATGGCATTTCTGTGAAAAGTCTTTAAACTGGCATGAAACATTATTAATGTGACTCTTTTTTGGTTTGATAGCTTTAAGTGAATCTATTTAGAACCTCTTGGTAAGCCAATTATCTTCCATCTTATGGTGAACTTTCCCAAAGTCTATAAAAGCTAGGGTAGGCTGAAGCCCAGAACCAAGATCTCTGTTCAGATTTCCCACATGCCTATCAGGGTTCTAAGTATTTGAACCACTGTCTACTATCTTTCAGTGCGCCCATTAGCAGAAATCTAGATTGGAAACAGTGGAGCCAGGGTTTGAACTGTGATTCAACATGGGCTATAGTGATAATAATATAATCCCAAGCAGCAACTTATCCATTGTGTACTAGCATCTTCCCCTCTATTACCTGTTGCTTATCATAATATTTAAAAATGTGTCAGTTTATCTGCATTTTTCAGTGAATAAATTCTTTGCTTCTAGATAAGTTCTTAAGGAACTGCGTTATTACTATTTTAATATTCATAAATAAGAAGCAGCATCAAATATTATTTTAAGGATCTTTAATGTTGGTGCCACAAATAATGCTTTGTGTTGATTTATTCAGGAGGCATATACATTCATAAATATATATATATATATATATATAAATATATATATATATATATATAAAAATATATATATATATATATATATATATATATATATATATATATATTTGTGGGTGGGTGTCCAATGGTAGGAGCCAAGAACTCGGTCCAGACATCCCATGTGGGGTGCAGAGACTGAAGTGTTTAAGCCATAACCTACTGCCTCCTCAACTGTGTGTTTGCAGGGAGCTTCAATCAAGAGCAAGAATTGGTGATCCAATCTAGATCCTTTAGTTGGAATGTGAATGTATCTCAATGACAAGATGAAATAACTATCCCTAAATACTACATTTTTTGAAGAATAACCTCCTGGGAAGACATTTTCAAGTATAAGATAGCAAGTGTATTCTTAATATATAGTTCCTATGCTTAAGCCAGTAGGAATGTACTTTTCCCAGTCAGATAGACCAAGTTGTTCAGGGAGTCTGCTTGGCAGTTGTGCGCAATGTCTATGTACTATGTCATGGTGGTTAACCTGCCATGCAAGGATATTTTAATTTTATTTAAAAAGTCCCTTCATAAGCATCTATTGAGTGGTGTGCTGAACACAGTTCTGTGCATTGAGGACTCAGTAGTGAGCAGAAGAATAAGTTTCCTGCCAACTTTGGGCTTACAGTATGGGAATGAAGAGAGATGATGTTTATTTATAAATATTTCTAAATGGTTACTTAAGCAAAGAAACAATAGAGTTTAAGAGTGTTATGTGCTAGGCTTGGCACAATGGCTCAGTTGGCTAATTATCCCCTTGCAAGTGCTGGGATCCCAAAAGGGCGCTGGTTGGTATCCTTGTTGCTCTACTTCCCTTCTAGCTCCATACCTGTGGCTGGGAAAGCAGTGGACAATGACCAGGACCTTGGGATTTTGGGCCAAGTAGAAGACATGGAGGAGGTTCCTGGCTGCTGGCCTTGGATCAGCTCAGCTCTGACCATTGTGGCCATTTGCGGAGTGAACCAGCAGATGCAAGATCTTTATTCCATGTCTTTCCTTCTCTCTGTAAATCTACCTTTCCAATAAAAATAAATAAATATTTTAAAAAGAGTGATATGTACTAAGAAGAAAATAGAGAAGGGATAGAGGTAATGATGGGGTGAGTGTGAGATTTTATTGGATCAAGGAGTGACAGTATTTCTGAGCAGAGTTTGACTGAGGGGTTGGAAAAGACCATGGGAAGATCTAGCATAGCCGAGGAATGTGTGGCAGGAGCAAAGAACATCAGGAACATCTGCGTGTGTTAGGACAGTGAGCAGTGGGAATGTAGAAGGAGACAATGCCTTGGAGGAAGGTGGAGGCTGGACAGGAAGCCCTGAAAGACTGTGAGCAGTTTACTGGTTTTTATTCTGTGTGGCAAGAAGCCTCTCACTCTAGGGTTCTGAACAGGGCTATGGTCTTATGTGAATCTGTAAGACACTATTTTTAACTGCACTTTGGAGCACAGGTTTTGATGCCTTGGGAGTAGAGGCAAGGTGATTGGTCAAGAATACATCCTTAATAAGAACAGGATTTGGGGAAGATGGGGCAAGTATGAGTGGGGAGAAGCAGTCAGACTCAGGAAGAATTTTTGAGACTATGCTAAGTTGTTTGCCTCTGGGTTGGATGTGGGCCAGGCAAAGAGGAATCATGATTTGAGCCAGGAAACTGGGGAAAGAGTTGCACCATTTCCTGGGATGGAAAAGACAGTACAGCAGCTGTTTATAATGGAGCAGGAAGTGGTAAGGATGAAGCATAAAATGCTTGATGACACTTTGAGACTGAAACAGAGCACAGATGGTCATTGGTCTATACAATTTGGCTCTCAGAGAGTCTAGGGAGATTTTCCATCTTAGGGATGGTGTTTAAAGACACTGGTCTGAATAAGCTCATTGAACAAGAGCATGGATATGGAGCAGAAAATATAGGAAGAACAAAAATGGAGAAGAACAGGGAATAGACTACAGAGAAGTGCCATTTTAATTTTTTAAAAAAATTCCTATGTATATATGAAGACACTTCAAATCCTATGAAAAATGGAATTAAAAGATAAATGTATTTTAGTGCACAGCTTTTAAAAAAAATCCATGCATATGAACATATTCAGAAAGTTCACATTAGTGAATATTATAAAACAACTATGTGTAGAAGGACATTCAAAATCTTTGCTGTTGTGGGAGACATAGAAAGTTGAATCTCCCCTGAAGGCACCAGGAGCAATTAATATGGAAATAAATGAACATCCTAGTTCACAGGTTTAGATAAAGAATCTACTAGAGGAACAAACTGTGTTTTGGGGAACTGTGCCTTGCTGTTGAGATGTAAATGGCTCAAGCCCCTCCTCCCTGGATGTCTATGTGACTACCTTCCTTTAAAAGTCTGATACTGTTAATAAATTTCAACTACTGACCGTCAGTCAGTAGTGCACGTGTGTTATGGTCTCCATGCACCAAGTTGCTCACTGCAGGACAATGACAAATATGCATGGATTTCATTTTTTTTACATCAAAATAAATATATCCATTTCATTTTTCATAAACAACAAGGATAATATGAAAACAATAACAACAGCTAAGTGTTTGGAAGTACTTATGATTTGATAGTCACTGTCCCAAGAACTGCCCATGTAACTACTGCCCATGTAACTATGATTTTTGTCAGTACCATTCCCATTTATTTTATAGCCAAGGAAATAGAGGTATAGGGAATTAAAACTCACTTACTCAAAGATTCATAATGTGTATGTGGTTGAAGAAGATTCAACCTCGTCATTTCAACATTAGAACTCATGTTCTGATTTCTATGTGTAAGTGCATGGAAATGTCCCTAGTCCATAGTAAGAAGACTGTCTCCGTTCTTTTTATATATATTTATAGGTTCACCTCATTCTTTGGTTTTCAAGAATTCTATTCTTTTTCCACAGAAAAGTAGTTTTAAAAATAACAATACCTATTGGGTTCTTGATATAATGGTGCATTTAACAGAGAGTCAAATCTGAGCTTATCCAAGAAGATGAAAAATGAAAGCAAAATCGACTGAAAGGGTTCATGAGATAAGAGTTTTATGAATATATTTAGATTGTGATGTTGCAGTAGGCCGAACTTCTCTGAGATGTGCCGTTTGTGATTTTGAAGTTGACTTTCCAGGGCTTTGTAAAATCACACTGATGATTTAAAACTGTAAAAATTATGAAAAGTCTAATCAATTGGTGGCAAATTAAATTCTTTAGGAGATAAATTAATTACATTTAAGTAATTCAATGTTCTGAACTTGTCCCAATTTTTATGAGTTTATAGAATACTGATTAATTCCGATGATTGGAAGTCACAGAATTTTACTTGTGACTTCCTTGAAGGTCATTTAATCCTACTTTGTAATACAACCAACACTGTATGCCTAAGTATGTGGCTTCGTGTGGGTACAAGACTTAGGTGGGACAAGAACCCAGCCTTCTGACTCCTAGATATTGTCTTTTTGCTGAGTAACATGAACTAAATGAACTAAAATTTATATGATGATCTACTTATTGCTACTTATTATACTTATAATTGGAATTATAAGTGATAGTAAAGCTTACTGGATTCTTTTAAAAAACCTCTGATATGGGAATTGCTTTTATCTCTTATTAAACACTTTAAATTAAAAATTTGACCCACTAAATTGTACATATTTATGTGGTACTATGTAATGCTTCAATTCATTATTTGTTGTATAATGTCTGATCAGGTAAATGTACTTATGCACTCAAACATTTACCATTTCTTTATAAAATATCCAAACTCTGGAACTTCTTACTCCTATATAACTGGGACCTGGTACCCATTCCCAAACACGTTTTAAATACAGAAATAGAAGCTTAGTAAAATCAAACAACCAACTCTGTGGAACCAACAAAGGGAAGAATATTAAATGTGAGTGTTAAGTGAGTGAAAGTAGGAAATATTCCTAAAATAAGAGTAGCTTAACCTTAAAGAGCAAAGTACCTTAACACATAGTTAATGTGCAAACTATTATTACTAACATTTGGTGGAAGTCTAGGAGAATGTTCTGGAGTTCAAGCAGAAGTAGAAGGGATCCTCTATGCAAGGGATGATTGAAAACATCATTTGTATACATGGAGACAGTCATATTTTCATACCCATTCATTCTTGGGTACTTCAGCTGAGTGGACAAATTTATTCCCTGCTCCCCTGAATAATGTCCTAACAGTACCAGAAGGGAACACTGCAACGTGTTTATTCTCTCAGTCGCCAATCTGGTTCCGACAAATGTGTACAAGAACAAGGAAGATTAGAAAGATTGTATTAGCAGAGGGGTTGGTAGTTTTTGAAGCATACATTAATTCAGCAAGGATTTGGCAACTTCTTGAAGATGACTGAAGTATAGTCCTTCTCTTTGAGAATCTCGTATATGGGCAGTATGGGAATCTTGGGGAACAAAGGACTGTTGCCTGGAGGAGGGGGTACATGTCACTGAGGAGCGTTTGTGTTGGTATGCAGAGACAGGAATGATTTTCTCCAGCAGTGAAGAGGGAAGGGTACTTCCAGACAGAGAAGCCCATGTGTGCTTGGAAAACATACTGTCTAGACAAGATCATGGGGAGAAGGGGATGGCTAACACTGCAGATGCTAAAATGAAAGGCACTTTATGAGGGGCAGCTTTGAACAGGGGGATGCGCTGTTCACTGTTGTGATTCAGCCTAGAAGCCTGAAGCCATATCAAGTTGAGGGAGGGAGGCCTCAGAGAAAGCTCTCAGACCACATGTGATGAGGGAATGTGAGATGGTGGGTGCCTGAGCTCCCCCACAAGGAGTGAAGATAGAGAAGTTGGAGGTAAGGAATACCGAGGTAGAAGTGATAGGGTTTAGTTACCAACTACCTATGACTGGTGGAAAGTGAGAGATTGAAATTGATCTTGGTGTTTTTGCAATTTTTGGAGGCAGTGAACCAAGGGTATTGGATTAAATTTTGCCAGGGGGAAGCAAGTGAGTTTAATATGTGTGTGACATTTCCCCTCTGTTTGGTGCTCCACAATTTCTTGGCCTCTCACGTTAATATTCCACATGTACCTATCTTGTCCACCCAATGATATAAAAATATCTGCTGAATGAATGAATGAATGAATGAAGGCTTGTACTGGGATAAAAAACTGTGTTAAGGGAAAACATGTGGATATCATGGACGAAGGTACAGGCATGAGAATTCCTTAAAGGAAGGTACAAGGGGGTAGAGAGCATTGTTTTAGGTGATAAGGTAGTGAGTGGGAATGAGGTGGATTTGGGATGACTTTGTAGGGCATGGCCAGGATCTGAAACTGATAGGAAGTGTTTGGGAGAAGATAAGGTCATGAGGATCAGTGCTGTTATGATTGTTAGTTATACAAAACCTTTGTTACCTGTTCTGTTACGCTTTGTGTGTATCACAGGCCACTTTGTATCCACATCACTCTGCATTTATATTTCAGGGTAACTGTAAGTGTATTCCCCAGCTCCCATACTAAATAGTGCAAAATCCCTGTTAGCAGGAACTATGGTTTGGTCTGTATCCTTGGCTCAGTGAATATTTGCTGTGTTTATGTTTTTTCTTAGAATTGCTAGCCAATTCTTGGAATGGGCTAGGGTAATAACAAATAGGCTTGTATTACTGAGCTATAAATCTGGATAAAATTTTTATAATTTTATTGGATCTCTCAGGCTGTTTAAAAATTTTATGACCTCCGTAGGAGTAATCATACATATTGTTGAAACATAGGTTGGTTCAGGAGCCAGATTACCAGAGTTCAAAACCTAGCTTTTTCTGTATGTAATTGGGGTAGGTTATTGGGACTCCACATGCTGTGATTCCTCAAGTGTAAGAAGGAGGTAAGAGTAGTATCTCATAAAGACTGGATGCATTAACATATGTTGTCAGGTTGTGCAATACCTGGCACGTAGCAGATACTCACTGAATACTTAGTGGTAGTTGTGTACTCTACATACAGTAGCAGTGAGGAAAGTGAACCTCTGTTTGCAGTTGGTTTCTAGATATTATGAAGTGACAATGCAGAGATAGCATTCTCACGTTTCACATTGTGTTTGTGTGTTGTATATGTCACCATAGGCACAGCCACATGTTGCATAACTCTGTGAGTGGTGTCATAGCTGAGGCTGGACTGCCACAGGTGTCTGTCCTGTGTATATTTCACTTGCATTTTTATTTTGCCCTCAAACCAACCTCTTTAGGATCAAGAGGGGGAAATTGAAGCTCAAAAGCCACAGGACACAGCTATGTTTAGCTTTAGTTAATATAAACTATAAAATATATCTATTTCATTCTAAGCAACATACTGTGTACCTACAGGGCGTCTGGCCCTTGGTACTGAGAACTGAGATGCCCCATCTCTGTGTGTCACCAGCATCTACTCTGTATTAGGGTGTTCTAGCCTTACTTTGAACCTGCTGGCTACCTCATGGCTCCCTGTATTCCCTGCCTAGGTGCTCACTTGCTCTAGGTCCTGGGAGGCCCCAGCTTGGGAGTTGAGGTACTGCTGCCTTCTTGAATGGTTCTCTCTGGAGTCTGCAGAGAAGTGATTATGGCAAGCCCAGTGTCAGTAGCCATGCCCATCTTGAGGCGAAATCACCCTAACCCATCCATGTCCACCTTTTTTGTTTTTATCTAAACCCACCCCACTGTCTACCGCTGTATCTTTCTCCTGAAATTCTCTGTCCCTCTATCCCTATGAAAGGCTGCATTTTCAACTAGGCATTGAGCCAGAGGTGAAAATAGGTGTCTTGGAACCTGTGGACCCTGGATGTTTGCCAGATTCTCTGCAATCTGTAAATCTCTTTGATTGCATAACGTTGATTTAGGACTGATTGAAGTGTTGCCATTTACTGTGTGATCAGCTCTCTGTATAGTTTACATTAAGACGATTTTTTTTGCTGTTTTAAAGTTTATGATTTTCAAGGTTTTAAAGAAGAAATTTATTTCAAGCTCAGTATAGACTAAGATGTCACCTGATTGACTCAAATTAATGTCTTCTCCCTTTTCCTTCTGACTCACAGTTTGGGGATATGGACTGCTGTCGGTGACAATTATTAATCTGGCATCTCTTCTCGGATTGGTTTTGACTCCATTGATAAAGAAATCTTATTTTCCAAAGATTTTGACATTTTTTGTGGGTCTGGCTATAGGGACCCTTTTTTCAAATGCAATTTTCCAACTTATTCCAGAGGTAAGGATATTGGCTATTTGTGAATAATTGTTTCTTTTAAATGTTTTAGTACTTTGCACATTTTTAGCTCCCATAATTCTCATAACATTTTACTGTCTGGTTTATAGTGTTTTGGATAAGAGAAGGCTGAATCATGGCAATCATAAATAGTTGTCCCAAGTTGCAGTGGATGTAGGTGTCAGAGACAAAATTAATATTCCAGTAAGCCACCAGGCATACTCGGGTGGCCTCAAATGCCTTGTACTGGGCAAATTTATCTGCTTCATTGTTTATTTATTTGTTTCTAAAGAGCATGCCATGTTGAATTTAGTGAAGATTTATCAGAAAATTTCTTCATGTATTTGCTACAACTTCAGGGGAATAGAGAATAAGTCAGTGCATGGTTGGCAAACCATTTCATTTCTTTTGACTGTAGGAAAAAATCAATTGTGGGTGAATAAACTGCTATTTTTTTTTGATGAAATGTGCTATTGATCTGGCATTGACTACAATATACTATTCAATTACAACAAATAATATGTGTGTTGTATTTCAGATCTATATTGTGGTTACATAAGGGAGATAAATAGGGAAAGGAAAATAAATGAAAGGAAACAGACCATGGTAGAGAAGGCCAAAAGAGAGACTCATGCAGGAGAGGGAGGCACAGAACTAGAGAAACCTAAGAGCACGTGAACTGTGTCTCCCTACCCATGATGTACACAGGGAGGGACATGTCCCAGACAGCGAGGACGTGGTGTTTCAGGGAATGTTGTTATCAGCTTAGAAGTTCTAGAAAATTATAACCAAAACATCTTTTAGTTTTCACATTTACATGTGAAGTGGAGCATATAACTACATGGAACCACAGATTTTATAATTATGATAGTATGATATAGAAATTACCTTGGAGAATATCCACTTCAAACACTTAACTGGATAAAAGAAAAAAAATTTTAAATCTAGACCTATTCAATGACTTGTTTATAACCACAGAGCAAGCAATTAGTAAAACCAGAATGACAGTACGGATTTTCTGGTTTAGAAATACATCATAATAAACCCAACAGTTTGATTGGGAAACCATCCCTGGTCTGAAAGTAGGGCTGGCAGAATATCATCCCCTCCAATTAAAAGCCCCTACACAATTTCAACAGCAATTTACAATTTATCTGGACAATAAGATGCTGGACTCTCTGCATGGTCCATGCTCACGATGAAGAAATCATGACTGGTTAGGATTTGTACTACTGTAACAATGTGGAGGAATTCAGTGGGGCAGGGGGAGGGAGGGCTTGGAGAAGGGTTGGGGGAATCCCAGAACCTATGAAACTGTCATAAAATGAAATAATTGTAGTTAAAAAAAGAAATACATCATAATAAAAAAACAAAAAGAACTCAGAAGTACGTTATAATAAATATATTTAATAGGATACAATTCTGTATGTTTATGTATGTATTATGTCATCTGATTTGTGGGTCAAATTAATACTGTGTTGGACTAGACATTTTATACCTATGATTTTATGGTTTTCTATTTTCTTGAAAATATAGCAATATACCTCAAATTTTCATACATGGTTATTTCTTTTTTTTATTTCTTCATGCTTTCATTATTTCTGTGTAGAGTTTATATGGTATGCATTTTTATGGCTTTTTACACTGTGCAAACAGTCAGAAGTCATTCCTGTGAAGATGTGGCCCTGAGGTCTCCTCAGAGATGTAGAATAGGAGCCCACAAGCCTTCATGCATCCTGCCCCAAGGGAGGGCTCACAGTGTGCCTGCAGCACAAGCCTTCATGCATCCTGCCCCAAGGGAGGGCTCACAGTGTGCCTGCAGAATGATGCAGGGCCATGGACTTTTACTTGTTATTCTCTTTTTCCATTTTATTTATTTAAAATTAATGTGTTTTTTTTTCTTTAGGAATACCTGGACTTGGTTTATAATGTTAAACTCTAACTTTTGTGTTTGTCTTTGAAAATATGGATTATTACATTCTCACATTGTGTATGTGTGTGTGGGAGAGAGAGAGAGAGAGGAATTACTTGGAAATTCAACTTTTTTAAAATTCTTGTGCTGAGTTCTTGGTTCTTTCTTTTCATTCTCTAGGTTCAAAAGTCAAAAGACTCTCTCAGGGGAAAATTGTAACTCAAGTTTGTTGCCATATTGACTTTAAAACTTTGATTCTGGCTATGATTGGTAAATGTGCCATGTTTGGAGAAAGTGGGTAATTCACATCTCACATAGGCTTATTATTTACATCTAATATTGTCTTCCAAAGATGGAAACCAGTGCTGTTTCTTTATGACTAAAAGTTCTTTTTTTTTTCTTTTAAAGTTATTCTTCTTGGTGTATTAGCAAGGAAACTAAGACCATCTGATGGCAGTATTTAAGGGGATAGCTGGTTATAACAATTCTATTCTGTCCCATGGAGGTTGGTTGCTCAACTTTTACAGTCTTTATTTTATGATGTTGGCAGGTAAATTCACAATATTACATTATTGGGGAGGTAGATTTAGAAGTTTAGTAACAATTAGATGGTGAAAGATGAAATCTTTCTAGAATCAGTTGATTTTTCCCAAAATTCTTGCCTCCCTTTAGGCATTTGGATTTAATCCCCAAACTGACAACTATGTTGAGAAGGCTGCTGCTGTGTTCGGTGGATTTTACATACTTTTTTTTGTGGAGAGAGTGCTTAAGATGATATTGAAAACATACGGCCAGGTAAGTGAACTTAAAATCTCTTGATAAGTCACCCTCTTAGAATTCTGTGGATAGTCCTGTTTTAGACTTGTGAGTGAAAGAGTTAATACGTTGACGATCAAGAGAAACACTTGCTTCATATTTTAGACATTGGGGCATGTATGGTTGTAATTTAACGTCAAATGTGCATAATTAGCATCTCACTCACATTAGTCAAAATAGGAAAGTATATGAACCCTACATGAAAAAGCCCAGCAACAACAGAATCTAATAAATTAAAATACTTTCCAAGAGATAAATTTAATCTAAAAGATTACTTATGGGAAAGTTGTAAACATTTTCTCTTATCAATAAAAGTATCTTGTTTTTTTTAATCTAAATATTTTTTAATCTAAGAACTGTATTTTCTTATCTAAATGAGCATATGTATCTCTTTTTGTTACATTCTCATCCTTTTCTTTTTGTTTCTCTTATGTAGAATGATCATACCCACTTTTCCAACAACGACTTTGGACCTCAGGAAAAAACTCATCAACCTAAAGCATTGCCCACTACCATCAATGGTGTGACATGCTATGCAAATCCTGCAGTCACAGAGCCTAATGGACACATCCACTTTGACACCGTCAGTGTAGTGTCTCTACAGGTATTTCTTGATTCCAGCTTCCCTTTTCTATTCTGCATGTTTCCTGTTGTATAAAGACTGCTGTGACTCAGCATGGACAATGTTTTTGTATTCACAGATTGTTAGCTTGTTCCTGTATAGGGGTAAGTGGGACAAAGGTCTGCATTATCTGACAATTTCCCTCTGCGTGTTTAAGCAGAAGTGCTGAGAAGGAAATGTTGGATTACTGTATTTAAGAATTCATTATTTTTTAAGAGTACCAAAATATGAAAGTCTGTCATTTCGATGTATATGATATGTAGCACACTTAATTCAGATTACTTTTCTTAGTTATTTGAAGGTCAAAACTAAAGAATTCTGAGTATTTTTAAATTGTAGGAGGGAAGACTACTTATAAGATATTGAAATTATGTACATTAATTAACCGACTCAGCATTTTTATTGACAATCTTCTAAATAATCGCAGTAATTATCATTTTCCATGGTACAGTTTTATGGGTATAGAAATTCCCCTTACACCTCTGCTTCCTCACTCCCCTCCCTTCCCCCTCACTGTTTTCACCCGTATTATTACAATAATATAGTGCTTCAGCAAAAGTTACAAGCCCAGCATTCTGCTCTTTAAGGATTATGGCATTGTAGGTATAGGCAATGGTAAAAAATTTAATAGCATGTTGTCAAGGCATGTTAGCAATTTCATTGAGAGAGAGTTCTCCCTTATTTGGCAATAGAGATGAATGCAGCATTGTGTCTTTACTTCCTGGCATGCTAGTCTCCATTATGGAGTTCATCTATAAGAATAATTGCATATATGTGGTTTACTTATATATCTGTTTTGCATTTTGCATGAATGTTGTGTTAAATCAATGAGAGCATATGACATTTGTCCTTTTGGGATTGGCCCATTTCACTGAGACTATTGGGTCTATTTTGTTGGGTCTATTTTGTTGCAAGTGGTAGAATTTCTTTCTTTTTATTGGCTGAGTAGCGTTCCATGGAGTTGATGTACCAGTTTCTTTATACCTTCCTCTTTTGGTGGGCATTTAGGTTGTTCCCTTGCCTTCACTCTTGTGGATTGTGCTGCTATAACTATAGGGTTGCAGGTTGCATTCTCATATGCAGATTTCATTTCCTTTGGATATATTCCCAGGAGTGGGATAGCTGGGTCATATGCTATATCATTTTTCAGTTGTCTGAACACTCTGCATACTGACTTCCATAAAGGCTGCAGTAGCCTACACTCTCCCCGAAAGTGGAATAGGGTACCTTTATCCTCATATCCATGCCAGCAGGTGTTGTTAGTAGAGTTCTGAAGGTAGGCCAGTCTCAATGGAGTTAGGTGGAACTTCAATATGGTTTTCAGTTGTATCTTCCTGACAATCGGAGAGCCTGAGATTTTTTTATATGTCTATTAACCATTTTGTTCTTTTGAAAATGTGTGCTCATTTTCTTTGCTTGTTTCTTCACAGGGTTGTTTGTTTTGCTGTCATTGAGTTTCTGAAGCTCTTTGTAAATCCTGGATATTAGTCCCCTCTCAGTTGTGTAGTGTGCAAAGATGTCCTCTCATTTTGTTCATTCCTTCTTCTTCGTTGATTGTTTCTTTTGCTGCACAGAAGCTTCTTAGTTTGATGTCGTCCCATTTGTGTATTTTGGCTTTGACTGCCTGGTTTTGGTGACTTTGCTAAGAATTCTTCCCCAATGCCTATATCTTGCAGAGTGCTTCCTATGTTTTCCTATAATAGTTTAGTGGTTTCTGGGTGTAGATTTAGGTGCTTGATCCATTTAGATCTGACTTTAGTATAAGGTAACAGGTGGGGGTCTTGCTGCTTGCTTTTGCTAGCAGATATCCAGTTGTTTGAACAGCATTTATTGAAGAGAATAACCTATTTCTCCAGGTTGTTTTCAGTTCTCTTGTCAAAGATGAGTTGGTAGTACATGTTGGGCTCCCTTCCGTGGTTTCTGTTCGGTTCCATTAATCTCTGCTTCTGTACCAGTACCAGACCACTGCCCTGTAGTATATCTTGAGATCTGGAATTGTGATTTCTCAAGCTTTGTTTTTATTCTTGGGATAGCTTTGGCTATTGGTGATTTCTTGTATTTTCAGATAAAATTTTGTATTATCTTTTCTACCTCTGAGAAAAATGTTGGGATTTTGATTGGATCACACTGAATCTCTGTGTTACTTTCAGTGATATGGACATTTTGATAATGTTGATTTTAAAGATCCAGGAACATGGTAAGTTTCTGCATCTTTTAATGTCTTTGTCTATTTCTTTCCTTAGTGTTTTGTAATTTTCCTCACAGAGGTTTTCCGCATCTGTGTTTATACTTATTCCAAAGGATTTGTTTTTTCTCTGACAATTTAAAGGTTACTGAACTTACAAGTTATTTCTCAGCTATGGAGTTGTCTATACATAATAAGGCCATTAATATGTTTATTGATTTTTTTACCCTGCCACACTCTCTTATGATTCCAATAGTCTGTCTATTGAGTCTTTTGCTTCTCCTGTGTACAGAATCATGTTAGCTGTGACAAGGATAATTTAATGTCCTCATTTCTTATTTGAATTCCTTTAATTTCTTCCTCTTGCCGAATAGCTCTAGTGATGACTTCCAATACTATGTTGAATAGCAGTGTTGAAAGTGGATGTACTTGTGTAGTTCTAGATCTTGGTGGAAAAGCTTCCGGTCTTTTCCTATTCATAATGACACTGGCATTAAGCTTTTCAGAAATTGCATTCATTATGTTGTAGAATGTTCCTTCTGTGCCTCTCTTGCTTTTGGTGTTTAGCTTGAAGTGGTGTTGGATTTATTAAGTGCATTCTCTGAATTTATTGAAATCTTCATTTGTTTTTTATTCTTTAATTTTTCTGATGTGATGTATCACATTTACTGATTTGCTTATGTAAATAAATTCCACCTGGTCTGATGAATGAACTGTCTGATGAATTGTTTGATTTTTTGGCTAGTATTTAGTTGATGATCTTTGTATCTATGTTCTTCAGGACATCAGTCTGTAGTTCTCTTTCTCTGTTGTGTCTCTATCTGGATTTTTTTTTATTAAGGTAGTGTTGCCTTCATAAAGAGTTTGAAAGGATTGATTCCCTTTCTATTGTTTTGAATAGCTTGTGGATGATTGGGGGTAATTTCTTCAAACATTTGACTGTGAAACCATTTGATCCAGGGCTTTTCTTTGTTGGAGGGATTTAATTACTGAGGCAATCTACGTCTTGATTATAGGTCTACTTGTGTTTTTCAGTTGCCTCATGAATCAGTTTTGGTAAATTGTATGTTTCCAGAAATCTATCCACTTCTTCAGAGTCTTCCAACTTGTTGGCATATATTTACTTGTAATAGTTCCTAACTATTCTACATATGTCCCAGACATCTGTTGTTACATTTTCATTTTCACCTTGGAGTCCTTTGATTCCTATCTCCTCCATTCTTCTTCTTGTTCTTTTTATTGGTTAGCTATTGGGGAATCTATTCCATAACTTTTCTCAATAAACTAGCTGTTTGATTCATTGATCTTGTGTTTCATTCTTTTGGTCTCTATTTGGTTTATTTCCTTCCTTATTTTGATTTTTTCCACCTAATTTTGATATATTTTAATGCTTTTTCCTAGATCCTTCAGACATCTGGTTAGCCCATTTACCTGGTGCTTTTCTGGATTCTTGACATAGGCAGTAATTGCAGTAAGCTTTCCTCTTAGCACAGTTGTGAGTGTGTCACACAAGTAAGGATGTGTTGATGCTTTCATTCATTTTGAGCAATTTTTAAAATTCTTCTTTGGTTTCTTCTATAACCTATTATTCATTTAGAGCATATTGATCAGGTTCCAAGTATTTGCATATCTTATGGGACATTTTGACTTTGTGGTCTCCAGTTTCACTCCATGATGCTCTGAAAAGAAGATACATGGTATTATTTTGATCATTCACATCAGGCTCCACAGCCAGGGCTCCTGGACCAACACTCTGTTCCCATGTGATTTTCTGTTGTGTCAACACTGTTTTCTGCATAGCCTTTCTCCGACTCATGGCTCCAGCAGTACCTACGATTAGGAAGCCACCAGCTGTGACTTTAAATGAGATCACAATGGCTCCTATTGCCTGGATTTCTTTTCTTTTCTAGCCTCTTACTGAGACTTGCTGGTAGTTATGTCTGGAGGCAACCTGGACCTATTTTGGATGGAACCTGTGGGATCCCAAGTTGGTACTACTTCTTGGTGGGACCAGTACAACACATTGAGCCAGAAGTGAGCTCTGCCCTGGCTTAGCACATGTGCAGCCTGCCATTGTCCCCGACCAGAAGCTCTGCTGTAGTAGTCAAAATGGCACCCGAGGTGGCACTGGTAGGGGTATGGATTGTGAATTCTACCCTGTTCCTGTACCCAATGGAAAGAGTTCTATCACCTTGCCTCTGCTCATGATCAGATTAAAACAGTCAGTGGGACCTGTGATGCTATGGCTGCATTCACCTTCTGCATTCCGAGTGACCTCTTCCTGCCTGACCACCAGTGCAGCTCCATTTACCATTGGGGTATCTGTTCACTGCAGCACTACTCCACTGCCTTTGCTGCTTTCCTGTGTCCATTGGTCTCCAGACCCTCTCCTGTTTCCCAGAATTATGTCCTTTCTGCTTCTCCTTAGCTATTCATGTACCATCTGTTTTAATGTGTCCTCACCCAGTTCCACCATTTTACTCTCTCCATTTGCTTTTTTAAGTGTCTATCTTGGAGTCTCCATTTACCCTGTTTTTCACTGCCAACATATGGCTGGGGTAGTTTATTGATTTGTCCTCTTGTCTTTTCATGGTTAGGGATCTGAGTCTGGCAGTTCAATTGAGGTGAACCCAGACCAGGTTCTTGTATGTACTTGTAATTTCAGGGCCTGGTACAGTCCATCACCTCAATTAGTTGGTGGTTGCAATTGCTGGGTCAGTTCTGTTTCCAGCCCCATCTTCCACTCGACGGATATTGCAGTTCAGCCTGATTCTGCCCAGCACATACTTGGCCCTCA